CAGGCAGAAATTATGTCAAAGAATAAGCAAATATTTCTTTTTCTTTCTTATTCATTAATTTGGAATTGAAACGACAAATACGTTCTTATACGGTTTTTTTTCCCTCGAAAACCATACCGAATTCCAAACCAAAATGAGCAAAGTGTATACCCGTTTTTAGACCGAAAAAGCGCGAAAACCATATCCTTTGGGGTGGCACACACCTATGTGGCTTACAGTGTATTTAAGGAAATATTCCCCGGGAGAGAACCCAAGTGTCTTAAAATTCTGTCCCCGGGCCTCAGTGCGCTCTAAATGCTTCATTTGTCCGAGACATGCACGTTGAAAAGGAAAAAATTGATTGAAGGGATGATACTGAACCAAACAGTACAAAGGTAAATACAAATTTGGACGACTCTCCGACGAAAAGGAAATGATTTTCATTTTAGCAAATGGTTGCAGACTAAGAAGAGAACTTGTCACAATATAATTTCTGCTCTTTATTCTCTAACTCCCATGTCCTATTTTGCTCTTATGCATGTGTTTAACTTTCAAAAAAAACATTGAAGTAAATATGTAGGTAATAACAACTTTACATAAAGCAGTCTATTTGCTCATAGGGATAATGCTAGTAAAACTAATTAGTACATTGCCAAATGTAAAATCGCTCAGGAGCAAATATTGTCTGGAGAAAATCAATCATACTTCAGCTCGTTACTGGCTCTAACATAACTAAGTTATAGTGACCTCAGGTATCCTACAAAAAAACTGACAAGTTTTCTATCACCATATTAAAACCACTTTTTTTCTCTGTCAGTTTACGATTGTCATGGTTAAGGTGACTTTTTACTTGGATAGTTACCTCTACAAATCTCTTGCCGATTTTCTACCATAAGCTGATAACTCTCTTCGTCACGTTCCTCATCAGTCAACCATGCACTGAATGTTACTTCTCAAAACTGAGGGAAAAGAAAAAGGAAAAACATACAACTGTTGATTAAAATAAAACACTCTGAAAGGTTTCAGTTGAGAAAGAAGTTCACAGTCTAAATAGTGCGTGCACTTGGCAGCTCTTTGGCAATTCGTTCAAACAAGAGAAAGGCAAGAGATATAGCAATAGCTGTAGCACTTACACTTAAAAATCAGTTCCATATTGATTCGTGAGTTGAATTTCTTCACTGTGTTGTTGGTACAGTTCTAATGTTATACCATGTACCTTGCAATAGAGCGAACAGTTTCAGCAGCAGTAACTTTCATCAGGTATCGTTAAATACAAGCGATCCATGATCGTTCAGGAGAGACTAGCTTGAAACTACGATGCCGTTAGGAAATTTCAAAAATCATTTTGAGGTTATTTGCGCATGGGTGAATATAGATGACTCTCATTAATTCTATTTTGGTTCTCGTGAAAAAATGATGAGAATCTAATGTATTGAAAACACCTGTGAAGTATAATGATTTACATATTTGTTCCTTCTTTTAGCGTAACGGATTGCGATCAGAACTACATGCAAATGATAAACCTTAAGAAACTTCCCGAGTATTTCAAATCATTCAAAATTTTTGTAATAGTTCCAGGAGTTGTGCTATATTCATTATTTAAAAAACGATTTTTCAAAGTCTATACCCGTTTTCAGACCAAAACGCCCCTCCCAAAAAATTTTCGATTGCGGGATTTTTGGGGGGTAGTAAAATTTGGCAAGTATTTTTGGGGGTGGCTTGATTTAAGTGGGAACAGCAACAATCTGCAGATTCCTGACAGTGCCCACAAATCCCGGCCGCTTGTTCTGCAAATTAAAGTTCAACAGGCAAACTTGTTGTCCTTTTTGGAGAATTTTTAAGGCTCAGAAATTCGGCATGGGATTTTTGGGGGGTTAATTTTTGGTCAAGGGACTTTTTGTGGGTTTTGTTGAAAGCACTAGTGTTTTTTTAGAGGGGTGGGGGGTTGATTTTTAGCCCCATTCGATCATCCCTGTGCCTTAAGATCGGGAGTATCCTACCTGGGCAAAAAGTGAAACAACTCCGCCCGTAAAAAAAAAACTACCTTTCGTTACACAAAGTCAATAATACCACCCAGCGTAACCTAGCCTAACGAACTAATGGGGAAATTGCACCTTATACAAAACAACCAAGGGCTAATAGAAATCTTTAGGAGCCTTTCGTCATACCATATCGCAAGGAAAATACACTGATGAACTATTTGTTAGAGAACGTTTAGAGAGAAGCTCTGAAGGTCAGATTACGACCAAGTGCACGAGTCGTGTGTTGCCTGTCGCCAATTTTTAAACCTTTTAACCTCGGTTAAGTCCGACCAAGGGAGTCAAAGAAGACCCAAGGAGATTGCAGCGTTCGTTAATTTTTCCACCCCCCCATCCATTGTCATCACGCAAGTTAAAAAAAGCCCTAAAATTACCTCCTCATCGATATCTCCCTACTCCTACAGCATTTCATTTTCTTCCTCCTCCCTACATTTTCGCCCCGAGTTCTCCCTCCTCCCTACTTTTT